GAACGGAATATTTTAGGAGAATATTTATTAAGACTCGAAGTTTTCACTTCTGCAAGCCATTGTCCATCCCCCAGCTCCAATTGCCACGGAATAGTCACTCTTTTCAATCCCTTCCAAATTCCTGCCACCCTTCTCCTTCATGATCAACCTTTTCTCAGAACATACACGGCAAGAAACCACAATCGTTATTAAATCACAGATTGCTCTTCTCTCATAGTAAGTCTTTAGCCTTCAGCCACTTCAAATCCATCACTCACATGCCACCTCGTAGATGCGTCTCCCATCAAACCTCTCAGCCACCACCCTTATAGCCGTCGCCAGCCTCGCCCAAGCCCAAAATTGTGTCGAGAACGGTCCCACAGGCGACGCCATCACCGGCTTCAGGTTCTCGGGGACATGCGAATCCTGGCAGTGGTTCTCGCGCGATAAAGGCACGCAGGTCAAACTTCAGCCGGACTGCTTCCTGCGACAGACGTTCCCCAACGCCACGCCCGTGGGCCACGTGTGTATTCAGCTCGAGAGCGGAGGCCACAAGTGCTTCTCGGCGCCGGGGGCGGGGGCGCCGCAGTGTAGGGTGCCGGATGACTTTTGTTCGGGGATTCAGAACATGTGGGGATGGTAAGACGGCCATTGTCACGCAGGATTGCTATTTTTGCTCGTTTAAAACTAGCTGCAGCGATTCTATAGGGGCCGAAACGGTGTTGTGAGTTGTGACTACCTAGAAAGTTTTTCTATTCGGGGGGTGGTACCACCTAGCTTCGATACCAGCCGATCAGAGCGGGTCTTCCGGTGCATACTTGTCCGGCGTCCACTTAGGTGCGACCGGCAGTTGCTGATATAGATTGCCAAATACGAACATATACAATGGACTAATCCTGTATTCCTAACTGTTAACACGTGCAGTTATCTTGTAAAAGCCCCAATTCGGCTGAGCACAACGGCAGCTTTCCACCTCATCTAACGTGATCTGGGTTGACTGTCTTGTCCAGATTTTGGGTGGAAGCATTCCCGGCCCGCTGACGTGCCCAGGACATAGTAACCCAGAGTCCAGATCCATGCCATTATTGGCACAAGTAAACACAGAGATCGGTCTCGGGCGGATTCGTGTTGTGCTCGAAGAACATCTCACTAACCCAACCTCGATGGTAGGTCTTGTGGTTGATAACATGAAGGAACATGCCACCCAAAGTCATCTCTGCAGGTGTGCCGTTGACGTAATTGAACTTGGATCGCTTGCTGAAGCTTTCCTCATCTTGCCTGGTCGCCCAATCGATGTACCACTGGTTGACCTCAAACTGCTTTTCGACCAACTCCTCAAACTTCGGGTATAACAGATCACGGCGGGTCGAGAAGCCGTGGTCCTCTTCGAGTAGATGTGCACGCCAGATCAGGTCGACCTGATGATTGTGGTTGAGTGTGCCCATCATGGACTTGAAAAGAGTTGTGCGCGGCTGATAGACCGCCCCAGACGGCAGCTGTTTTTGAATCGCTGCGAAAAGTACTTGGTCGGCCCAGTTGTTATACTTGGCAAGCATAACAGCCGTCTCCCTTGTGAGCATGGTGCGTGTTGGTCTGTTGTGAGATTCGCAGCAAGATTGGCAAGGAACAAATTGAATATTGAGGGTGTTTAATGTGATCTTGACTTCCGTGTAGGGGCAGTGTAGTTATATAACGCTAGAACTCACGGTAATATTCAGCCGACAAACTTGTGAACGATACAAATTGGATTGCCTTTAGCGTTTGCTCGTTTTCCATCTTTCAACTGCTCATCTTCTTTGCTTTGTCATCCTCCCTTGGACTTACCCCTCTAATGACATGAAGACTCATGGCGCCTGAATGTATACTTTGCATGGATGGATTGATAAGCATGACGTGGAAATCGCTCATGTGCCGGCGGGAGGCGTCTTTTTTTTGCTGGTTCGTCGGTCTCCAATCTGTTTGCTGAAAGGGCCGCCGGCTTGACTATGGTGGCTTGTTACGCCTCGGCAGCCGCCGGCCAATTCGATCAGGTATATAAAGCGGAACCACTTGTGTATCAGCGGCTTCAGTCCTATCGAACGATCAGTACGTTTGAGACTTGGTCAATTTCAGGTCTCAGCCCTCCATCTTAGAGACAACTCAACATAAGTGACACGGTACAGGACCCTTTATAGGCCCTGGGATATAATTTGGCTTGATAGTTTCAAACGAGTAAGACAGTCTTGCAATTGCATACTAACGAATGCTAGTTTAACAACCCACGTATCATGATTTCAATCGAAGACTCTGACAGAACAGCGACAACGGCGGCAGATTATCACATCTCTGCTCGCGGCGCTGAAGGGTTGCTTTTACGCGATGTTTGGGGCCCCCGAGAGAAGTCCATGGGCAACCCGTGGACTCCAGAAAACCCCAATGGGACGCAAGTAGCCATGCATCACATTCCTTTCGTCAAAACTTACACTCCTTAGTGTCATCCTCCGCCTAGCCGAGAATAGTCTGATGCACAATGAGATCGCGGATTTCATTAAACAAGAGGTAAAACCTGAACCTTGCCAGGATGATTCATCTCTGAGATCGAAATGTATAGGTCACCGTTCTTCCAGTGAATCACTTGACTTACAACACTGGACCACGAGGATCGCACCGCCTACGCCTTGCAGCCGCGAACTTCCTAACAGACGAATTCAAGCCCCGAAGATCTCTTGGTACTGACAACATTCTCATCACCCCAGGCCTGGCTAGTGCTATTGATGCACTGGCTTGGACTTTCTGCGATGAAGGAGATGCTATATTGATTCCACAGCCATTGTATAACGGATTCATAGTCGACGCCTTGAACCGTAGTAACGTTCAGGTGGTTGGTGTTTCCTACACTGGAGTTGAAGGATACACGACCCTTGACGATTTGTTCGACCCTGAAGTCAACAGGAAAGCCATAGCCAGGGCACTTGACAGAGCCAAAATCAACGGTATTAAAGTCAAGGCTTTAATAATTTCCAAGTCAGTTGTCTATCCTAAATTCCTCTGAGTGCAGGAGGACGAGAAAATACTCACCAACCCGTAGCCCCCACAACCCTCTAGGAAGATGCTACGTTTGTTCTCCTCTCGTCCAAACTCTCTCAGGCACTAATTGCAATAGCCACCCGAGACTTTGAAAGTCTTTGCCCGGGCATGTGGCAAGAACGACCTACACTTCATCTCTGATGAGATCTATGCCAAGTCAACATTTCCAAATCCGGCCATTCCCGACGCTGTCCCTTTCCTATCAACACTCTCTCTTGACTTTAGCGGAATTCTCGACTCGACTCGCCACCATATCCTCTACGGCGCTAGCAAGGACTTCTGCGCCAATGGCTTACGTCTTGGACTTGTATGTACCAGGAACGAGGGGGTTATGGGAGCGCTATCTAGTATCAGGTACGTATGCCCGCCAGACCTGACTGAGATGAATCACCTAAGTAAGATCAAAGTATCTTCTCGTGGTCACCGCACCTCATCCAGGATGTGTGGGCCGCTATGCTGGAAAACAAATCCTGGCTCGTTGCGTTTACGGCAGAGAAAGCAGAGCGCATGGTCGTCAACCACCGTATCACAACCTCGTTTTTGCGCGAGCATGATATCCGGTACTTCGACACGTAAGTGTGGCAGTTGAGATTATTCGGAATAGCTAGACTAATCATTCTGTGTGAAGAAATGCTGGACTCTTCATTTGGGTAGACCTTAGACATATGATCACGTCGCCAAAGGACCCGCAGCATCAACTCATGCTTGACTCCTCGGACATTGAATCTACTTTGGAAAAGACCTGCAAACAGCGCGAGGTACAAATCGCCGATATCTGCATGAAGCATGGAGTTTTGGTTGCACCAGGTCACGTGTATGTGGCGGAGGAATATGGGTGGTTTCGGCTAACGTTCACAGTCGGCAAAGATGCTTTGCAAGAAGGTCTGAATCGCTTTTTGGAGGCATTAAAAGAGGCAGAAGCACATACGCCGCAGGCCTGAATTACCATTATCATTCAAATCGACCCTATCGTTACAGGTTTTGTGAGGTAGAATGGCGTAAAAGCGAGGTAATGCAACGAAACAACTGTCACTGAAACAACTGCACCTGGTTCCTTCAGCTTTTTTCTTCCTCGCCGTTACTCAAGACATCTAGCCGGAATCGGCTGACATCGGTGCATGGGTACCTAGCAGTTCTTAGCTGACATTGGCCCAACCTAAGCCGGGCCGGACCGACAGAGACCTTCTTTGGTCATGCCAAGTTCATGTTTCCCAGAAGTGAAGTAGCGTGCTACATCCAACCGTCTAGTGTCAAATACCTCATGGTTTCAATTATTGTACCGCATCGTGTGAATTTCCTTGAAAGCTAAGTCTTGTCAAGGTTGATCTCTTGCGCCTGGAGAGCCGGAATAAACCACCAAGTCAATCATTGCCACTGAATTGTATGCGAGACCGAGCACTTCAAGGGCCAATTCCGAGATCGTGGCAGCCGAATGAAACGGTCTCTCGATCGGAGCATCGTTGAAACCTGATGACGGGGCATGGTCACCTCTGGGAAAAGTTTCTTGGCAAACGATCCCCATCGACGGCACAGGTTGTTGGGGAATCATTATGCGTTCGTGCCCTGGGGATGGCTACAGGTTTCAGTGATATTGGATCCTGTGGACCTATAGGCATGACTAGTGAAATGGATCTAGAGAGCACTCCGTGGTAGAGCCGGTGGGAGGTCTACATACACGACTCGATCAACACCAATCATTCTCCGGCCCCAGTGGGTTTTGACAAGGTCGTGATGATCCCGGGGCAGCAGGGCGGGTCTGGCGGACGGAGATGAACAACTCCCCGTCCGGACCGTAGGGTCGTTGAGTGTCCGTTTGCGGCAATAAGATTCAACTCGCGACCTCTTGGTCGAATTACCGAGTATCACATGGAGAGTCTGCCGTCTTCTGATACAACAACTTTGATCTTCCGATACCACCAAGACCAAGTCTTACGCTAAGCCTTACGCGCTTTACCATGACCTTCAAGATCGTCATTGTCGGCGGTAGCGTCGCTGGCTTGGCGCTCGCCAACATGCTCGAGAAGTTCAACATTGACTATGTTGTTCTCGAAGCCTATCCTGAGATTGCCCCCCAGGTTGGAGCCAGTATTGGACTATTGCCCAATGGCTTGCGGATTCTCGATCAGCTCGGTTGTTACGAAGCGTACCGGGCCAAAGCTGAGGACCAAGTATACCAAAATGCCTACCTCAGGCGAGAGAATGGTGAAATCTTCAGCTACCAACATGATTTGATGGACATGTGGGAGAAAATGTAAGTGGCTTGTGGAGTTTTGCGAATCATAATTGACAATAGAACAGGTTAGGATATCCAATGATCTTCATCGACAGGCAGATGCTTATTCAAGTTCTGTACGAGAACTTGAAACACAAGGATAGAGTGCTCACTTCTCAACGAGTTGTATCCGTGGAATTTACCGAATCTGGTGCTCTTGTCACCACCAAAGACAACAAGGTCTTCAGCGGGGACATTGTCGTCGGAGCTGATGGAATCCACAGCACGGTAAGGAAGGAGATGTGGCGACAAGCGCCGACCGGATACTTCCCCCTGGATGAGGAATCCAAGGTCCCTGCCTCCACTTTGTGTGTCTTTGGCATCTCTCACAGGCCCAAGGCATACCCCGGAGCCAGTCAGCACAACAAGATGTCGCCTGGTCATAGCTACTTTGTAATGGCTGCGCCGGGAGACCGCGTGTACTGGTTTTTGTTCATGGAGTTGAAGACTCTCTATGGTAGAGATATCCCGAGGTATGTTACCACTTGCAAGTCTAAAAGACTGGAACTGATCTCCTTCCACAGGTATACCAAGGCCGACGAGGAGCGTATTATCAAGCAGCACTGGGACGACCAGATTCTGGAAGACATGACACTTGGTGACCTTTACGAGAAACGTATTGCTACGACGCTGGCGCCGCTTCAAACCTATGTCTTTGAGAAGTGGCACTACAAGAGGGCCATCACCATCGGAGATTCTGCACACAAGGTCGGTACCCAACGCGTGAATGCTACTGAGGGAAAGTGCGTCAACAGGACAATTGCTGATTGACGTTATCGAATAGGTCGATCCCGTGACGGGTCAAGGCGGTAATGGAGCAATCGAATCAGCTGCACATCTGGTCAACGCCTTGTTGCGTAATCTTGACCAGACCCCCAGTGGTCTTAGTGAGAAGCAGTTGGAGAGCATCTTTGCTGAGGTGCAAGAAAAGCGCTTTGTAAGTGACAAGTCATACTCAATGAAGACTTGAGGTCTCGCGACGAACTCGGAGGCTGATCTTGGCCGTTCATTTGGATAGGAACGTGCTCAACACATTGTCAAGCAAGGCTACTGGCTCCAGGACGCCTTCACGCTACGAACCAGAATGGGTAAGATGATTGCGCGTTACTTAATGCCTTTGCTGGGCTCCTTCGGAGTCGTCTACCGGGGCGTCGAGTTCTGCGCCCCCGCAACGAAGCTGGAGAGACTAGAAGTGCCTCATCGTCCTAGAGCGGTGTTGTTCGAGGATGAGTTGCCAGCGAAGCCACTCAAGGGCTTGGGCAGTCTGAACAAGCTCTTCTCTGTCGCATTCATGTGTATACTCTGTGCCGTCGCGGCAGGGGTGTTGCGTCTGCCTAGGAGCCTGGAGACGCTGGTCGACGTCCTGTGCTCTTCCAACCATGGAGATGCGTCGATGCTGCCGGCTATCGAGTTCATGACCAACACTGCGGCGCTCATTGCTCTCGCCTTGGCTGACTTGAACCGCGTGGGAAACCAGCTGACATCTGTGACCTTGTAAGTTGATCCCCAGCTATCACAGCCGATGTATTCGGGCAGACTCCCCCAAGAGCAGACTAACGCGGAGGCACTGCACCCCAGAATCGTAATCTTTACCATCTTCAACAACACGCTCGGCCCAGGTGGTTTTGCCCCAATTTCTTGTGTCTTTGCTCATTGGTCTTGCAACACCATTGTCGGCAGACACGTTCCCCTCGAGAACGCCAAGAGGGTGTTGCCCATCACGGCCGCGGGATATCTCCTACCCGCAGCCGTCGCGCTGTATCGCCAGGACGCAAACTCAATCAACGTCTGGCGCAATGCGCCAATACTGTGCTTCTTGTTGGCTAGGAGTCTCTCTGTGTTTGGACTACAATCTGGATCTCAGCAACCTGAGAACGAAGAGACCAAGTTACAGAGCACGAGAGAAAAGTACCAAAACATGTTCGCCAAGGCAGATCTCCCGGTTCTTGGCCTTGTCTACTACACGACTCTGGCAATCTCCGCAGTCATCCATCTCACCAATGTTGCTCTCTTCGGTTTGAAGTACAGCTTGTTTGGTGGTGAGAACGCGGCCTTGATGGCTCTGGGTCTGTCGAAGCTGGATATTCTGATCTTCACGTTCTGTTCGCTGCTGCTTGCCCTCGGCACGGCGCCGTGGAGTTTGCGACTTTGCGGATACATCAACACGAAGAAAGCCTTGACTCAGGCCGCAGCAGTGATTCTGGGATCGGCCGTTGTTGGTCCCGCGGCAACGCTCGCAGGTATTACTGCGTATCGAGAGGGTATTGTCGCAGGTCTGAGCCAGTAGAGACATGTTGGTTGAGGGCAGAGTCAAACATGGCTCCTAACAAAACTTTCCTGGTGGATGCAAACTACCATACCGAGACCCAATCAAGGGCCTTGGGTGCTTGCCTCGAAGCAGCCCTTGTAAATCAGATAGATTCGTTCATGTGTCATTTTTCCGCAACACAACTAGACTCCGTAGTAAACATACAGCTCTTCTCCTTTCCATCTCAGCCAATTAGTGTAATTCACGGACGATTTTCATCCCAAGCGTGTGTTGAGCCATTTACATCAAAATACCTGATGCAGGATGTATGTCATCATTAGCTTTCACGCCACAACCAACCAAGGTTTTCCCCGGGTGCTACGTCCCACCCAAATTTCCCCAACCCCCAGAATGTTTCTCTCTCTTGCTTTGTTTGATGCCAAGAGCAAGCTACCCCTCATCTCCGAAGTTTTTAGGTTGCAATCGGATCATGTTCGCTGCTAGAACAGCCGGGTTGGAAAAGTCGTTTTTGTCGTGCAGGACGTTACACCCACTCTCTCTGACGGTGCAATTAAGCGGCGGAAAACAGGCGGAAAACTCGTGGGGAACTACCCCGCATGTTGATCACTTCCCTGTTGGCTTATGGTTATTGGACTAGCGGTGGATTTTCTCCTCGCTGATCTCTGGGGAACGGCCGATAATTCTGACGAAGCTAAGGTTCGTGACCTGCTGGGTGAGCCGGCGCATCGCGAAGATGACCGGCGAACCCGGAGAGGCTGCATATGCAAGGTGAAAGGAAGACTGTATAAATATCGGGTGTTCTCACCGCGAAACTCTTGATCGCCGTAGAAGGCTTGATAACCATCCTGCTCCGGCATCAAGCTCCTCACAACTCCCTTCGTCCTTGGTCCTCATCCTCATACGGAACGATGGGCTTCTCGTTGAGACGTCTAGCCGTTGCTGCCTCCGCATCAGTCTTCACTGGTCGCGTGTTGGCACAAAATGGCTCAGCCGCAGGTATGAAAGATGCCATGCTAGGAGTCACCATTCGCGAGATTAACATTACAAAGGCATTGTCGTTGATGGCAAGTCTTTTGCCCTCAATGGCGACCATTCCTCATACCGCTTCCATGTGGATGAGCTGACTGGTGACCTATTGTCTGACCACTTTGGAGGGTCGGCTACGGAGAGCATGGAAATGCTCGCCCCGGAAATCAATGGCTGGGTTGACATGATCGGCCGGGTTAGACGAGAGTACCCCGACCTTGGACGTGGAGACTTCCGTGTCCCCGCAGTACAAATTCACCAGTCTGAGGGATACACGGTCAGCGATCTCCAATATCGATCCCACAGAGTCACGGCAGGAAAGCCTGGCTTGCCGGGTCTTCCGGCGACATTTGGAACCGACGATGAGGTCTCTACTCTGGTTGTTTCTCTGTACGACAACTACAGCTCCATTGCCGTCGATCTTTCGTACTCAATCTTCCCCAAGTATGATGCCATTGTCCGAAGCGTCAACATCACCAACGAGGGGGAGGGCAACATCACCATCGCCAAGGCCGCAAGTCTCAGCGTTGACTTGCCATTCGAGGACCTTGAGATGATCGAATTGAGAGGCGACTGGGCTCGCGAAGCCATGAGAGCTCGGAGGAAGGTTGGCTACGGCACGCAGGGGTGAGTGAAGAACGGTCGCTACTGTGCCCGTGAAGGACCATTGGCTGACCTGAATTCCCCATAGCTTCGGAAGTACAACTGGGTATTCATCCCATCTTCACAACCCATTCTTGGCCCTCGTCTCTCCAGACACTACCGAGTCCCAAGGCGAGGCATGGGGATTCTCTCTTGTCTACACAGGCTCGTTCTCCGTTGACGTGGAGAAAGGATCCCAAGGGTTTACCCGTGCCATGCTCGGTTTCAATCCTTACCAGCTCTCGTGGCCTCTTGGACCGGGAGAGACCCTCACTACTCCTGAGGTTGTCGCTGTATACTCGGATGCTGGTGTCGGTGGCGTATCCCGGAAGTTCCACCGGCTCTACCGCAACCACCTCATGAGAGGCCAGTTCGTCGACCAGACTCGTCCAGCATTGCTCAACAGCTGGGAGGGTCTCTACTTTGACTACAATGAGAGCACAGTTTACGATCTGGCACAGGAAGCGGCGCGACTCGGTGTCAAGCTCTTTGTTCTGGACGATGGATGGTTTGGTCAAGAGTACCCCCGACTGAACGACACAGCCGGTCTAGGAGACTGGGAAGTCAACGCGCAGCGCTTCCCCGATGGCCTCCCAGCTCTCGTCAATAAGGTCACCAACCTCGAGGTCACGAACACGACAGATAAGCTTCAGTTCGGCCTCTGGTTTGAGCCAGAGATGGTAAACCCCAACTCTACTCTTTACCATGAGCACCCTGACTGGGCTCTCCATGCCGGCAACTACCCTCGAACAATCAGGAGGAACCAGCTTGTGCTTAACGTGGCGCTCCCAGAGGTGCAGGAGTTCATCATTGATTCCGTCTCCAAAATCCTCTCCAGCGCCCCCATCTCTTACGTCAAGTGGGACAACAACAGAGGCTTCCACGAGACCCCCGTCCCAGGCATCGGTCACTCATACATGTTGGGCATCTACCATGTCTTTGAGGTCCTCACCTCGCGATTCCCAGATGTGCTCTGGGAAGGCTGCGCATCCGGAGGCGGTCGCTTCGACCCTGGCGTCCTTCACTACTTCCCTCAAATCTGGACATCTGACAACACTGACGCCCTGGACCGCATCTCCATTCAGTTTGGAACTTCCCTGGCGTACCCCCTCTCTGCCATGGGTGCCCACGTCTCTGCGGTGCCCAACCACCTCACTGGCCGCACGATTCCAATCAAGTTCCGTGCTCATGTCGCCATGATGGGCGGATCCTTTGGCCTCGAGCTGAACCCAGCCGTGATCTCCGCTGAGGATAAGGTGCAGATCCCCGAGCTATTGGCCTTGGGCGAAGTAGTCAACCCCATTGTGATTGGAGGTGATCTGTGGCGTCTCAGTCTGCCAGAGGAGTCCAACTGGCCGGCTGCCATGGTCATCTCGGAGGACGGGTCGCAGGGCGTGCTGTTCTACTTCCAGGTGCGCGCGCTGTACAACCACGCCCTACCGCGGCTTAAACTTCAAGGACTGGACCCGACGGCCAAGTACTCTCTGGATAACAACGGCACTTATTCTGGTGCTACGCTGATGAGTACGGGTGTGCAGTACGCTTTTGATGGTGACTACGACAGCCGTGTTGTGCTTATTTCGAAAGTATGATGGAAGCGCCGGATGATCTAGTGGACGGCAGTCTTGCGAAGATGACTAGAGAGACTTTCAAGCAGAAGCCTGAGTGATGACTAGAACTAATCTTAATCACTTGACTCATCCCTCGGGAACCACGGCACAATCCTAGGCCCCTCTCCAAGACTTGAGGCGCAACACGTTGCCCATGACTTACCTAGGGCACGCATTGAATAACCCGCAGACAAAATCAATCACTTATGTTAGGTGGGCTACGTATTGATGTTGCTCAAAGAGCACGTGGAATGACGCATTGATGTTGCCGCTCAACTCAAGGGCATGGCCCGAAACCTTGATTGAAGCTATTTCCTATTTCGAGCTTCGAGGCCATTTTGCACAGACTTTCTTCTTTTCGAGCCAATGAAAGACACGGAATTGCGACCCGACGAATCATGAACGAAGCCCGGAGGGCGGGAGCCGACGATAGCACTCGAGTCTCGAGCAACTTTCAAGGCTTGCCGTGATTTCAAGCTTGCAACATTCTCTCAGTGGCTCTCTTGAGTGGGCAAATAGACACCGTATCAAATGCCTTGACAGCAAGTAAGTGGAGATCCGAACATTATTTGGCGCGGATTTCAATCGCACTCGCTCGCCTCTCAGAGACTCACTGGCGGCTTGTCAAAATGGATGGAATTCGATCCCGGCCGCAGCCTCCAAGAACCGCCAATAAGTCGAAGTCCCGCCCAACTACCCGAGTCAAGACCGGCTGCAGGACCTGCAGGTGCGCTCACATCATTTCGTGTTGTATTTTCATGAGAATACCTTCTAATAGATACTGAAATTCAGGATCCGAAAAGTAAAGTGTGATGAGACCCGGCCAGCTTGTCGACGCTGTGTCACCACAGGCAGGACCTGCGATGAGTACGGCATTTGGAGTTCTAGACCCCAGAGTCCAGCCCCATTCATGTCGCAACAGGCATCATCTATTTCACTTCGCAACATCCGCACCTCCGTCTCGGGGCTGTCGGACGCTGAGAAGAGGCTGTACGAGTGGTTTTCACGTCGGACAATCGCCAAGCTGGCAGGGATATTCGACTCTACTTTCTGGGAAACCATCGTGCTCCAGACCAGCTCGAGAGAGCCCGCCGTAATGCATGCGATCTTGGCACTTGCCTCCGTTCACAAGAAACAAATGACCGATGCCGGCTCTTCGCCCAATCGGAGGGTCTCTCCTTCCTTAGACGTCCAGGAACGCAGCACATTACAGCACTACAACAAATCAATAGTCCTTCTTCGAGAACGTCTGGCCTTGAACAATCCCATGTCGGCACGAGTGGCTCTAGTTTCTTGCATTCTATACATATGCCTAGAGTATATGCGTAAGAGATTCAAGGCAGGCCATTCTCATCTGAACCACGGCTTGAACTTGTTAAGTCACACCATGCCTGATCTCAAGTCCGGAAACGGCATAGGCGATGCTCGCTGCAACAAGGCGTTAGATCCCATGGTCGGATGCCTTATTGACACACTCTCACAGCTCTACTATCAAGCGAGATCACTGAGAGGTCCATTTAGCCAGGAAAGGCAGACCGATGGACTGCGTCCCTTGAGACAGCTCCCCGACTTTTTCGGGTCATTAATTGAAGCTCGGAATCATCTAGATCAACTTCTAGTCAGGGCTCAGCGACTACGGCGATGTTGCCTAGCGAGTGCGACAAGTCCCGACGTGTCTCAAGCATTCGAGATGCTTGTCATTCAGTCATGTCTGAGGAACGACTTGATATCATGGTCGCGCGCGTTCAACCTTATGAAAAGTAAGAGGTGGACTCATCTATCCGCCCGGGAGCGTTTGCCTTTCCGCCTCCTACCTGTCTATCACACGATGGCACACATCATCACGGAGACATCTCTTCATCCGGGCAATGAGCTCATCTTTGATAAATTCATCTGGCATTTGGACATGATGGCGGAGTCATCCAAGGAGATCCTTACCGCGGCAATACCCACCATTGCGGCAGATCTCTCGTCCGGGCACTGTACAACCAAGTTTAGTTTCACTGCCGACATGGGTCTTATACCACCGCTTTACTACGTCGCCCTGAAATGTCGCAAGTCACGCACCCGATGGCAAGCTATCGAACTCATCACTGATGGCTTGCACCAGGAAGGAATGTGGGACGCGACTCTCGCGGGGACCGTGGCTTCTGAAGTAATAAGAATGGAGGAAGGGGACTTTTACGAAAACGTATCTTCGAGGAACCAGGTCTTGGAGACCAAAGGCCTCGCTGAAGAACAACCAACTCCACCGACATTGCCAAATGATCGTAGATTGCTTAACGTTCGGTTGCTACTACCAGACGATTCTCTAGGAGAGTTGGCTTTCTCAGGTACAATGAGATGCCCAGACGGTACGTTGAAACCTTTCAAGAAGGTCTACGACGCGAAGACCCGGAACTGGACGTTTGCGGGAGTACTGTAGCTGGAGAAAACACCTCGAAGTAATCATTCAAATGTGTGAAGAGATGTTGTAACAGACGTCTAGAAGCTCCATGGTTTGAAAAGGATTGGACTTGGCGCTCTGGACATGCTAATTTAGCCTACTTCCTCTATGGGCATTCGATCGGCTTCTTTGTCCCCTGCAGCTGCGATTTGAGACTATGTATACTACTTGACATTGAAGAATAAGTGTCAAACACAAACTCTAGCTAGTCAAGCTTGAAGTGTCCCGTGAATTCTCAGCCTAAGTTAAGCAACATACCCAGATGAGCATCTCTTGGGCAGCTGCCGTTCTTCTCGCTGGTGTCTCTCTTTGGCAGCATTTCCAACCTTAGACCCCAACTTTGTTACGGCTCGAATATAAATAAATACACCAAAGGAGTTGAGAACGAGGCGGTGTTACTCTGCCTATTTCGAGCTACCAATGTTAAGCTTGATGTTGCGGTTTGCCCGCTCGCAAAGCGTGTCATCCTATTGGCTGTCGGACATTCGGCTTGAAATTCTTTGCGTGCTGCCCCAGATCCCCGATGGACCAGAGTATATGATTCGGGATAGAAGAGAAGATCCAGATGAAATTGACTCTTACGAAAATGTCTATAAAGATGCGGATTTCCTTGACTATCTCATGACCTAATCTTGATGCCAGCAGTCACTTCATGGTCACCACCCTCCTAGCAACTTGTACCGCTCAACATACGTTACCCAGCCAGCATTCACGGACACCAAATGGCATGCAAAAGCGCATCCTGGCTCCCTTCACGGGACATCACATCCCTACAGGGCAAAGTAATCCTCATCACAGGCGGGAGCAATGGCCTCGGGCGCCAATCAGCCATGGACCTTGCAAAACACAACCCAGCTGAGATTTGGATCGCGGCCCGGAGTGCCCCCAACGCCCAAACCGTCATCAACGCAATCGAGAGCACCTCCCCAACGGTCTCTGTCAAGTTTCTAAAGCTCGATCTCACTTCCTTTGAATCTATACGCAACGCTGCAACCACATTCCTCTCAGCGGCATCCCGTCTCGACATCCTCATCCTCAACGCGGGCGTCATGAACGTCCCTGCTGGAAGTGTGACGCAGGAGGGCTACGAGATGCATTTCGGGACCAATCATGTTGGTCACGCCTTGTTCGTCAATCTTCTTGTTCCCATCTTGCGAACGACAGCCTCCGAAAGTGATGTTGGCGGCGGAAAAGCCGACGTCCGCGTCGTCTTCGTCAGCTCCGTGGCTCACAAGTACCCACCTTCTGGCGGTCTGCAGTTCGACAGTTTCCATCCAAATGGCCGAAGTAAAAGACTTTCGGCGAATGCTCTCTATGGACAAAGCAAGCTAGCCAATCTGCTGTACGCACGGGAGATGGCCAAGAGGTACCCTCAATGGACGACCGTCTCCATCCACCCAGGCACAGTCAAGACCGATTTGCAAAAGTCGACGGATGGCAGTCTGCTTATTAGAGCATTTCAGAAAGTGGTCGTTCCACTCATCGGAGTCGACGTGGAGGAGGGCGCGAGGAGCCAGCTGTGGGCTGCTACTGCCGATGGGGTTGAAAATGGCGAGTACTACGAGCCCGTGGGCGTCGCTGGCAATGGCAGTGCTTTCGCAAAGGATAACAGCCTCGCACTCAAGCTGTGGGATTGGACTCAAAAGGAGATTGAAAACATGCATATCTGAACATGAGGCTCGATCATCTGCCGGGCCTTCTTCAGAACAGTAAGACGGCCTGATACCTTACGCTAGGTCATTGCTTGAGGTGCCGCACAACTAACAAATCCAGATTCATTCGTGGAGCATTTCCTTGGAATCTTGGGCTTTAAATGATTGAAGAGGTGGTGGGACCGAAATAGAAAACACGTCAAAAGAAAGACTTCTCTCCTTCGCTCAATTGACTTGCATCCACATCAGTCCTGAGCAGCGTCTCCTCAGCCAGCACAGGTGTACTTCCTTCACCAAATAATCTCCACTGCGCGGGGGCCGGGATGCCAAAGTAAACAGCCGAAAGAATACTCCAGGCCCTCAATGGCTTTCCGCTGGTGAAGATGCGCCCGAACAGCTTTCCGAAAGTCGGTGCCGCGCCCAACGGTGCCAGCAGACCGTCCATATACTTCACAAACTCCACATTTAGAGCGTGCCTGTCCGAGTCGATCATGTGCTTCTTCCGCCAACCCCTCATCGTGCGGATCTCCCTCATCATCTCCTCCTCACCGGGCAACTTTACGCTTCCCTTGATGACGGCGGCAATGTACCGTGCCTGCGCCTCGGAGACTGGTGTCACGGGTCCGGCTTGCTCGGTCTGGCCCATGACATAGAGGTCTTTCCAAGTGGGCGGTACGATGGACTTGTACAAGTCAACGTGCGGGGCTGGCGCCTCTTTGCTGGCCAGCGCGCCTGGTGGGAGATATGGCTGGTCGACGATGTGGTATCCGGTGGCAAGAACGACTACGTCGGCGTCGAGGGAATCGCCATTCTCCAGGATAACACCAGTCTCGGTGAAGGAGGCGATTGTGGTGCGACGAAGGGAGAAAATACCGGTCTGTAGCTTTTCAACGAAGTCGCTTCGGATGGTGGCGTTCTGTGCCATGAGGCCGTGATCTGGCTGAAGCTCCGGTGGCATCTTGCCTTGGGCATGGTTGAGTATCTTCTCAAAGAGCCACTCCTGGACGCTTGCGGGAAGCCAGGTCTGGCTGCTACGGCCTGTGAGACTGGGTCAGCAGAGGATCCAATCAAGGGTTTGGCATGCAACGGGAAAGACGTACTGTCCCACGCCTCTGTGGGTTTACCCAGGACGAATCGAGGCAGAACCCAAGCGCCTCGACGGTTAACAATTGTGAGCTCTTTTGCCAGCGGGCCAACTTCACACGCAACGTCGATGGCCGAGGACCCAAGACCGACGAGGATGACCTTCTTGCCCTCGTAGGCGCTAGGCTTGCGATAGGAACGACTATGTAGCACTTCACCCTTAAAGGACTCTCTTCCCTTGTATTCGGGGACGAAGGGCTTGCTGATAATGCCAGTTCCGCAAATCAGAGCATCAAATGCGAGCACTTCTTCCCCGTTGCCATCCTTCTCGCTTCCCCTACGGACCCTCACCTCCCAGCCGCCCTCCTTGCGAGGCTCGCATCCCACGACTGTCGTCTCGTAACGGATGTGCTTCTCAAGGGCAAAATGCGCGGCGTACTCATTCAAGTACCGCAGATGGAGCTTGTGGGAGTAGTAGATCGGGTACCGCGCCGGATCAATCGGGAAATCACTGTAGCCCGTGGTCAACCGGCAGGAGTTGAGCATGACACCGGGGTACATGCCGGAGCTCGACTCTGCACTCGGATCGGGGTTGTAAAGCCAGAGCCCGCCGAGCGCGGGCGCGCGCTCGAAGCACAGCACCTCCAGGCCCGCTGCAAGGCATTCTTTGATAGCGACAAGACCGCTAGGTCCTGGGCGTCGTTAGCGTCCTTGTCATATTCATGAAGGGGCTACTTCGGAGTTTCTCTTACCTGCGCCGACGACGGCGACGCGCTTGCTCTGAGATTCCATCCTTGGTGGGTGTTTGGCACGAACACACGAAAATCGCTGGAGAAGCAACGTGGATCGAGATGATAACTTCAAATGCCTGGGGCAACGGATGTATTCAACTTATCTGGTTTCGCGTTCGCAGGAAGTACTTGTGCTGGAATTCCCCCCTGATTGCACTACTCCTTTGTATTCTCGTTAAGTGCTGACGGGCGTCAAGCTAGCGTATACCACCGCAGCCATCCCTGCCTGTGTAAGCACGAATACTGGTGCCTGCCAATCCTTAGAGTGGTGGTCAGCAATGTGATTGAGGATTGAAGGATTGCCAGCAGAATATTAGTGGAGAGATAAAATCTAGTTATGGGCTGTCAAACCAATCTCCTGGGTCAGCAGTTGTATGCACGTTGACTTTCACTTCCGGAATGGTTTTACAGCCACCACTCCCAACCGCTAGAGCGGTCCACGCCTGTCAAAGGCATGAAGCTTCTGGTGCGTATTCAAGCTCCAGACCGACTGGGACTGGCATTCTGACTATACCTAAGTGTGCCAGGATTGTGTCAAAGTTTCGATTAACATGTAGAAAGATGGAGGAGTTTGCGTGACAGGTGACGACGTCGCTTCCAACATCTTTAAGATCTATGAATCTATCGTAATCACTGCAGCTGCAGCTTCTATTTGGTAATGACAGCTACTTCACAGCTTCCTTTCTCCCAGCCCTTACTGACCAGCAAGGAACCCGTTGATGTTGGCGGTGATATCAACCAACGGCCACTCAGTTCGGTTGCCGGCCAGCGTTCCCGCGACCTTGGCGTCACCAAAGTACTCCGTCACAGAGTAGACGCTGCCACCGATCTGCACAGTCGTCACTGTCGAGCCTCCATCAGCCAGGTACGCGTTGGGCACGGTTCCTATGACAGCAGCGGACTCCCACTTAGCATCGGCCGAGTGCAGTACCACCGTTCCCTTTTCGTTATCGGAGACGAGGATGACGGTTCCGTTGTAGCGGAAGGGGATCGAAACGCCGTCGAGCGCTGCGCCGATGGTGTCCGCCGAAGTAAGAGGGACCCGGACCGGCGTCGAGCCCGTGGCATTGGCGGTGTCGAACCGGTAGAGCTGACCGTCCGAGCTATCGGCGACGAGGAGCGCCTTCCCGTCGGGGGAGGACACGAGCCCGGAGAGTCCGTGGATGGAATGATTGGCGGGCGTCTTGAGGTACCACGCAACGGCCTTGGAGCCGTCGGGGCTGATGCGGATGATGCTGCTGGGGAACGTGCCGAGGGCGTACGTGGTGCCGTCGGGGCCGTGAGCAGTGTCTTGGAAGCCGCCGTACACGCCGCCGGTAACCTCGGTCAGGTTGCGCTGCCACAGCACCTCCTTCTTGGTGAGATCGTACTTGACGAGGATGTTGTCGCCCGTGATGTTCTGGCCGCCAGTGTCGAAGGCGGAGCCGGCATCGATGATGATAGAGAGGCGGTC